GAATGACTTGAATCCTGATCAAATTCCTGTTGTTTCTGCTTTGACCTAGAATGAGAATATCTGCCTAGGTTGATAGAGTACCGTTAATTGAAGATAGCGAATTGGTGACTTTAGTCGAGGAGCCAATTCGCTATTCTGTACCGAATTCCATTCGGTAGTGGAGGTTTGGTTCGTTAGGGCCTCAATCTGTTTACTCTGGTGGAGGTTAGTCGCCCGCTAGAGACTCAGATTGAGAGGTCTGGAGACCTTTAGGCGAGACTTCAGGCTATTTAAGAACCTTCCGCAGTATAATTTTCATAAAAACTGAACTTGGTAAATTGCAATCCGGCTTAACTGCAGTCTAGGGGGAACCATATCCGGGTGACCTCTCTTGACTTGAACAACCGTTAAACTTGCTTTGTGTTTTTGTTTGTTTGAATCTGCACTAAAAGTTCACTGCTAGATAACGAGAATTCACCGAGTAGTCATCACATCTAGGACCCGGGTTGACATTAAAACCCAAACCCGCTATACTACGCTTTAGGAAGTGGTTACACTTGGCCATTTTCTAGAGTGACAGTAGGAGTGAGTCAAGAAGAAGCCCGATCGGTTGATAAAAGAGAAACTCCTAGCAATCCGAAGGTTGCCACAAAGGGTGTACGAAGCAAAAGTAATCCAACTTGGGCTCATTGTTCCTTGCATCAGGATGGAAAAGTGGAGGTACTCACTTGTCTCTATTGTCAAAAAGAATTTAGAGGCGGAGGAATCGCTAGAATGAAAAAAAACATCTAGCTGGTGTTAGTGGGGATAATGCAATATGCTCAATGGTTCCTCCTGAGGTGAGCAAAAAATATGAATAAGCTTTTGACTACTTATGAAACTAGTGAGAAGAAATCTGAAGTTTTCAAAGCTGGATTTAAAGAACCTCGTGATACAAATTATTCTAGTGCACAAGATGATGGTAATAGTACTAAAAGAGTTGCTCCTAATGTGTCTACGGGTTTGATTGACACTTTCTTTATTCCACGGTCATCTTCCGGTAGTCAACCGGGAATAAAGAGTGCCTTAGCAACTAAACAAGTTGTATTGTATGTGGATCGAGCATGGGCTAGATGGTTCTGTGATGCATGTGTTCCTTTAGAAGCCATTAAATCTCCACAATTTAAAATAGCATTGGATGCTTCTATGACTCTTGGTCCTGGTTATAGTGGTCCTACATATTATGCTTTGAGGTTTACTTTGTTGGATAGCATTGTGAAAGAATGTCAGCTATTTGAGGTCTCATTGGAAGGAATATGGATGCACTATTATGGCAGATGGTTGGATGGATAATAGGGCAAATGATTGAGAATTTGAGGTCTCATTGGAAGGAATCTGGATGCACTATTATGGCAGATGGTTGGATGGATAATAGGCGTAGATCCTTAATCAATTTTCTTGTTTATTATCGTGTTGGAACATGCTTTGTGAAGTCCATTGATGCTTTTGGTTTGGTCAAGAGTGGAAAAAACTTGTTTAAGTTTTTCTATGAGGTCATTGATTGGGTTGGAGCTAAGAATGTTGTTCATGTGGTGACCGATAATGTATCCAGCTATAAATTAGCAGGGACAATGATACATGAGCACTATGGTCATATATATTGGACTCCTTGTTGCTCATACCCTTAACTTGATCTTGAGGGACATTGGATCTATGTCTCATGTTAAGAAGCTTGCATATCGAGCTACCAAGGTCTCCAAATTTGTTTACAATCATGATCCAATTTATTTTTGGTTAAAGACACAGGAGAATTGGAAAGAAATAAGGAAAACTGGTGCTACTAGATTTGCTACTACATTTCTGAGTTTGCAAAGTACTATTGAGCACACGCATGATGTGGAGGAACTGGTGATTAGTGAGTTCTTTAGAGAAAGTGATCTTTCAAGTACTAAGGATGGAAAGGATGTGAATGCAATTGTACTCGATCAACAGTTTTGGCTGATTGTGACTTCATTGTTAAGTATGGTGATGATTGGACAGAGGATAGGGCGGTTACATTTGGACTTCTTAATCTTCTTGAGAACTCGTCTTTATGTCCTGATAATAGTGTGGTGGCTATTCGAATTCTTAGCCAAACTACTGCTTCTTCTGGTTGTGAACGTAATTGGAGTGTCTTTGAACGTGTGCATACCAAAAGAAGAAACAGATTGCAACATAAAGTGCTTAGTAACTTGGTGTTTGTGAATTACAACTTTGCGATTGCAGAATAGGTAATGATTTGAATTATAGAACTTGTGTGTTGAATTCATATCTATGCTTACTATTGAATTGAATTATTTTATGCTTTCTACTTTGATTAGAGAGTATTATACCAAGAACAACAAAGAATCATATGATCCCATAAGCCTTGAAAGCATTGATTCTACTGTTACTAGTCACTGGTTGTCAGAAGGGGAAGAAGGTTCATCTTCTAGGGAAAAGGAATATGAATATTGATGAGTTAGATCGAGCATTAGAAGAGGAAGGTTTGTTTTGTAAATCAATTATGTATGATATGAATTCTAATACTAATAATTGATAATAATTCTTACTTGTTTTCTTTTGTATTGTAGTTCGTGATGAAGAAGATGAAGGGGACGACTTGCAGAATGTATACTTATCTACATTTGGTGTTGTTTGAAGATATGAAATGTTGTTTGTGAACGTTGTAGTGCTTGCTAGTTTTAGTTTGTAGTAGTTGTGAACTTGTGGTTTGAGAATGTTGTTTGGTTGTTTTGTACTTTGAACGATAAGGAAATGTTGTTTGGTTTGAGAATGTTGTTTGAACTTGTGGTTTAAGAATGTTGTTTGGTTGTTTTGTGCTTGATCGTAAACATGCATTTGAACGATATGTAGCTAATTCAGTAATGTTGCAGTTTGTTTATTGTAATATTAAATATGCATATTTAGTTTATTCAGGTTTGTTAGCCGCTATATTCCGGTATTATTCCGAAACGGTATCCTGAATCTGTCAGTATGGTTTTTTAACAAAAAAAATATTTTTTAATTACAAAAACGGTATTTTGCTAATACACAACGATAATAGCACGATAGTACCACACAATACCCTACTGACAGATCCGGTATGAGTTCCTTTCCTTTACCATGGTTTTTTTTATCCAAGATAAGCCCCTAGGGCATGGCCGAACAACAAATATATAAAACTGATAATACTAAAGAACGGTAGCCCGTATGCAACCGGACTCCCGATAAAAGAGTCTTTTTTGCCACGAGGTGGGCAGCTCTATGAAAGCTCCGAGTAGCAAAGACGCGAAACTGACACAGGGAGTCGAGAAGAGAGAAAGAACTTCCCTTAAAATATCTCCGACTTTAGAAAGGGAAGACTTCCTTGATGTAGCATCCTGATGACCGGTTGAGAATATCCTCGAGAGGTAATAACCAAACATTATGAGTAAGACCCTTTCTCATAGTAATAGCATAATAAATTTTACCAAAAGCAAAGACAGTTCCATCACCTGAAAATCTTCCAAAGGCAGATTGCACATCCGTGAAGATTCTTTGTGGCCCGATCAAACCGAATGAATATACTTTTGCTAGGGCAGGTTATATCTAACCCCAAAAAGGCATCCACTGTGATGCTAGAGATCTCTATCTCAAGAGATTAAGGAGTGTCCTTTAGGCATAGGCGACATAACCGAATGTAAAATATCAATTGTAAAATTCATAAAATGAAGTATAATAGATCTCCATTTGTAGATGGATCCGAATTACCCAATATACAACATTCTTAAAAGGGAATTACCAAATATAATGAAATAAAATTTCTATTTAGCAAAAATTAAGAGGAAGAGGAAATGAGACCACTAAAAATGGACGTTTAATTGCTACACAATAAAGACGATAATAATAAGGGAGAAAGAAAATGAACCCACTTAATGAGGAAACGTTGATTGCTGTACAATAATGATAAAGCAAATAAAAGGGCTAGTAACTAGCAAAGTCAACAAAAAATTCAAATTAGCAATAATTAAAAGAGTAAATAAATTAGTAAAATGATTCCAAATCTCACCGTAACGTAAACGAACAAATGAGTAAATAAATTAGTAAAAATGATTCCAAATCTTACCTTTACCATGGTTGTTACCAGAAGCTTTTTTTTTTTTTTTAAACACATTGTTACCAGAAGCATTGCAACAATTTTTCGTGGGTGGCTTAAGCTTAGCAGACAAGCCGCCATTAATAATAGCACGAGCGAGACTCTGGTTTCCAGAAACCAACCTAATAAACAAAGAATATAAAATAATTGGGGTTAATTGCATGGTTGGTCACTAACATTACAAAAAGCGTTCATGTTTGGTCACTGAAAAAATTTAAATCCATTTTTGGTCACTAACTTTACAAAACCCGTTCATTTATGGTCACTCTCCGTTAGCTGCCGTCCAACGCCGTTAACGGCGTCCGTTAAGTGATGACGTGGCTGACGGATTCGCCTAATCAGCACCTTTTGACCCTAAAATTGACCGCCACGTCATTTAAACCCGCCATGTCAGCTAAACCTAACCAAACCTAACCAAACCTCTACCCAAACCCGAACAGACCCAACCCGCTAACTAAAACCAAACAGAACCAGACCCCAACGATTGTTTGACTAAACCCTAATCTAATCGCGCAACCTTCCTCCATCGCGCGACGCAGCTTCTCCTCCACCTTCTTCTTCCTCTTCCTCCTCTCCGCCTCCCCTAATACTCTCCCATCAACCTAATCCAAGCCCTAATTTTTTCTTCCCCGGTTTCTCACCCGCAGATCCTTCGGCGTCACCACAACAACCGCCGCCGCCGCCGACTGACGTTCCCCCGGAGCCACTCCCGCAGTTCATCTCCGTGCTATCCAGGAGGCCTGCTTTGAGGGTGACCACAGAGTTCGACAGCGACAGCTCCGTGTTCTTCCACAAGGTCTCCTGCAAGCTGCTCGACAGCTTCGCGAAGCTCAAGCTTACGTTTCAGAACAACGGAAAACGGGAATTTTCCGAGCCTCAGATTTCGCTCGTCTCGAAGAATCTCTCTATTCATTACGATGTTGAAGAGCAGAATGCGCTCATTAAGACCTCCTTCGACGTTGGTTCCAGGCTCCATTTCAAGGGCGTTCATGATGTCAAGGTCCCATTTCTCTAATTCTCTCCGTCTTTCTCAACTGGGTTCGAAGTTCTTTGTCTTTGTAAATCAGCTTCTGGTCTTGATGGTGTAGCCCAGTCGGTCCGGTCAACATCTTCTTCAGCTCCCCTGTTTTTTTTCCCCCACACCCAATTCAGCCAAAACCCAAATCGAAACCGGAAAGACGGCAGAGAAAAAGAAAGGGGAAAAGGCGAGATTTTTACTTACCGAAAGAAGCTTGAGAGCTGATGTTGATTTCGTGGTAGGTTGACCCGTACCCGAATTGTCGGTGGAGGAATGGACCTGTGATCGGAATCCGGGTTTCGCTTCTGAACCAGCATTCCGCCGGGTCTCATCTCCCACTCTGCTCCCATGGAATCTGGTGAGCCCCCGGCCGCCGTCGGTGGTTTATTCTTCATTCTCATCATCTCTTCTTTTTTTTTGGCTGCCTCTGCCGCCGGTTACAAGGAAAACAAACACCACAAACCCCAAAAAAGGAAATTATGGCAGATTCCTCTGCAACTTCAGATCTCTAGGAAGGAACTGACTTTCCCCCGAATCCACTCGATCTCGAACAGAAATCAGAGCGGCAAAGAAGATAAGGATAGGGAGGAAGGGGAATTTAATTTCCCCTGTTCTGGAAAAGGTTTGACTCTTCTTCTTCTTCTACCCAGCAGCAGCATTACACGAATCCCAGCCCCGACCGCCACGCCATGGAGGAGAAGCTGCGTCGCGCGATGGAGGAAGGCTGCGCGATTAGATTAGGGTTTAGTCAAACAATCGTTGGGGTCTGGTTCTGTTTGGTTTTAGTTAGCGGGTTGGGTCTGTTCGGGTTTGGGTAGAGGTTTGGTTAGGTTTGGTTAGGTTTAGCTGACATGGTGGGTTTAAATGACGTGGCGGTCAATTTTAGGGTCAAAAGGTGCTGATTAGGCGAATCCGTCAGCCACGTCATCACTTAACGGACGCCGTTAACGGCGTTGGACGGCAGCTAACGGAGAGTGACCATAAATGAACGGGTTTTGTAAAGTTAGTGACCAAAAATGGATTTAAATTTTTTCAGTGACCAAACATGAACGCTTTTTGTAATGTTAGTGACCAACCATGCAATTAACCCAAAATAATTGATAACCCGCTGTGCCGCCATTACCAAACATGGTAAATGTATCCAACAAAGCCAAACCCATCAATCAAGTCACCTTTCCCCCCTATTTTTGGACCAATCAAATGTTTCCAATCTCTGCTCCTCGCCGCCCACCAACTCACAGTTTCCCGAAATTACACAATCCACACAAGGGCATTCCCGTCAGCCGACATCAAAACCTCACTCAGGAACCAACTTGGTCACCCCAAAAAACAAAGAGATTGAGACGACTATATTGATTATTGCTCCTGCTCTGCTCTGCTCTGCTCTGTTCTGCTCCCTCTCTCTCTCTTCCAAACCTTTCCTCTTTTGGTTCCGTGATCTATCTCTCTCCTTCTACACCAGTTCACGAGAAGCTCAACAGATTCCTCCTTCTTTCTTCCTTTTACCTCTCTCTCTCTCCCTCTTCCAATTTGTGAGCTGTTTACAGAGATCTTCAGTTCCCAAATCTAAGCTCTGCCTTCTTTACCTATTCTTGCTAGAAAGAAGCCATCTTTTGGTCTCAGCAGCTCAGTTTTGTATTTGTGATTGGATAGAATTGACATTCGACGAAGTTCTTTTATTTTTTTGCTCATAAATATACTGGAAAGGGTGTTGAAGTTTTCACCTTTTTTTGGGGGGGGGGGGGGGGGGGGGGTTTCCTTGATCAGTGTGATCAAGACTAGTCCACGGCCGAAGCACTCAATTCTATATTCACTTAGCTTCAGGGCAAGTTCAGGTTACAATATATATAAGTTCACTAACCCTAGCCGAGGTGGAGAAGGGATTCGGCCAGGGTTGACCTACGTAACTAAGCCTATAATTACACAAAGTGTTCCTGGGCTAAAGCCCATTCACAATTATAAACTCATAACTTAACAGCCTCCCCCAAATTGATGGAGGTCTCGCATCATCAATTTGCCTGCGAGATAGAAATGACGACTAGCAGTGAAGGCCTTAGTTAGTAGGTCGGCAATCTGATCTTCTGACTTGACATGAAAAATACGGATAACACCATCTCGAACCAAGTCACGAATATAGTGCACATGAACCTCAATGTGCTTTGTACGATCATGCATAACAGGATTCGTAGCTATCCGGATAGCACTGGTGTTGTCAACATACAGTTCCATAGGAACCTCACAAGTCACCCCAAAGTCAGCAAGCAACCGCCGAAGCCACTCAAGCTCAGAAACAACATCAGACATAGCTCTGTACTCTGCTTCAGTGGCGGACTTGGATACCCGGTCTTGTTTCTTGCATCTCCAAGATATGAAAGAACCACCAAGACGAATACACCAGCCTGTCGTGGAACGGCGTGTATCAATGCATCCTGCGTAATCACTGTCAGAGAAAGCCTGGAGGACAAGAGAGCCTGTCGCAGGAAGGAATAGCCCCACTCCTCGAGTACCCTGAAGGTACCGAAGAAGACGATGAACTGCTGCAAGATGATCCGTCCTAGGGGCTGACATAAACTGAGCAACAATCTGAACAGCATAAGCAATGTCTGGACGAGTCGATGTAAGATAGATAAGACTTCCTACAATGCTCCTATACTGCTTCCCACCATCCGCTAATAGTTCTCCTGTCTCCCTCCCCAACTTCACATTCAACTCCATGGGAGTCGAAACTGGAGTACAATCCGCAAACTTAGTGGTCTCAAGAAGATCTGTGATATATTTCTTCTGACTAAGTAAAATGCCCTCTGGGGAGCGCTCCACCTCTAAGCCCAGAAAATAAGAGAGTGAGCCCAGCTCCTTCAAAGTAAACGACTCATGAAGACCCTGAGTAAGAGCCTTAATCCCAGCCTCATCGTCTCCAGTAACCACCATATCATCAACATAGAGAAGGAGGACTACAATACCTTGGTCTGAGCGGCGGGTAAAAAGAGAATGATCATTCTGGCTCTGCCGAAAACCAAGACTCAAGATGGTAGACTGGAATTTATCAAACCACGCCCGCGGTGCCTGCTTTAGACCATACAAGGAACGCTGAAGAAGACAGACAGGATCTGGAATATCTGTGGGAGGAGAATAACCAGGAGGGAGTTCCATATACACAGTCTCTTTGAGATCGCCATGAAGAAAGGCGTTCTTGACGTCTAACTGATACAAAGGCCAGCGACGAGCAGCGGCCACGGCAAGGAGAGTCCGAACCGAGACCATTTTCGCCACCGGGGCAAATGTCTCATCAAAGTCAACGCCAAACTCCTGGCTGAACCCTTGAGCAACAACCCTCGCCTTGTGACGTTCTAGAGTGCCATCAGGTAGAAATTTGAGAGCATACACCCAACGAGACCCGATAACAGGGCGATCCGGAGGCCGAGAAACAATAACCCATGTCTGATTAGCCAAAAGGGCAACAATCTCCTCTGTCATAGCTCGGTTCCAGTTCGGATCATCTTTGGCCTGAGAATACCGAGTGGGAACTGCAAGAGCATCAACACCATAAGCAATATAATCATTATGACGAGGAGGAGGTACCCCACGGGTGGCGCGCGATGACCGGCGGACTGGTGGTGGTGGTGGCGGAGGCGACGGCGGTGGTGATGGAGACTGAGGCGGAGACGGTGGCGGGGACGGCGGGGGGGAGGGAGGCGGGGTCGGCTGGGGCAGCGGGTCAAAACCATCATCAATATCTTCATCAGTGTCGGAGAATGATGGAAGACTCAAGGAAGTATCAAACAAAGGAGTGGTAGTAGAAGAGGAAGAGTAGAACATAAGATTTTCCATAAAAACCACATTGCAGGCCGTACGAATGCGACGAAGAGCAGGATCATAACAAAGATAACCCTTAGAGACATCACTATAGCCAAGAAAGACACAACGAGCGGTTTTAGAGGACAATTTAGTACGTTCAGAACGAGGAAGCAACACAAAGCAAAGACACCCAAAGACACGAAGACGAGAATAGGGAGGTGGTTTGTTGAACAACTGGAAATAAGGACTCGACTGACCAAGGACAGGAGTGATCTGGTAGTTAATCAAATGAACAGCAGTAGACACAGTTTCAGGCCAAAAATAGGATGGGATGTGAGAAGCTAGAAGGAGAGCACGAGTAACTTCAAGAACATGTCGATTTTTGCGCTCAACGAGACCATTCTGTTGAGAAACACCTGGACAAGATTTATGGGTGAGAATGCCAAGGGACGCATACAAGTTAAGCAATGGGGTGGAACTAAACTCACCACCTGGGTCAGACCGGACTACACGAACAGTTCTATCAAACTGAGTCTTGATCATTTGAAGAAATTCAGTGGCTATGGGTAAAAGATCAGACTTTAGGCGAAGAAAATACACCCATGTATATCGAGTAGCATGATCCACAAACAAAGCAAAGTACTTATAGCCATGGCGAGAAGTAACTGGACTAGGTCCCCAAAGATCAGTATGGATAAGATGAAATGGTTCAGTAATAACTGTGCTACTCGAAGGAAAAGAAATGCGAGTAGTCTTGGCCTCAACACAGTTTTGACAAGAAAAATCCGATACCCGATCACATTTATTGTTTGGACCAAATAACTGTTGACGAAACATGGCTACAAGTCTATTTGAGTTTGGATGACCCAATCGAGCATGCCACAAATGAAATTTCTGATCACTAAGACTCGAATAAACAGGAAATGAAGATACCCTAGACACCGAAAGAGAATCCGACACTGATTTAGATGGCAGCTGAGAGAGCTTGTCCAAAAAGAATATGCGGCCAAGCTTGCTACCCCTCCCGAGCTCCCTCCCCGTCTTCATGTCCTGCACAACACAACCAGAGGGTGCAAAAGTAACCCGACAACCATGCTCAGTAAGTTGTCCCACAGAAACAAGACTAGGAACTAACTTAGGAACATGAAACGTTTCCTGTAAATGAACCGGAGAATTTGTAACTGAACCAATACCAGAAATCTGAAGATTATCACCATTAGCCACTTGCAATGACATATTATGAACCGGACGCATATTCGTAATTGCAGAATGAGTACTGGTCATATGATTAAAACATGCCGAGTCAAGAATCCACTTCGGGATTTTACCTGTAACCTGAAGACTTGCGAATGCTGAAGTTATGGCCTTGTTGACCATGCTCTCCAAGGCAGCGGGAGTGACCAGTACCCCGTCGGAAGAAGCTGCTGGCGCTGCTGCATAGGCTGGCCGAGAGCCACCATTGCTTCCTCGGCCACCAGTCGAGTGAGAAGAGCTGCTCCCACGACCACTAGTATTACTATCATCCCCCATTCGCTCCTGCAACAACTCACAATCAGAAATAATATGTCCTCGCTTCTTACAATATACGCAGAAATTTCGTTTGCGGCAAAATTTCTTAGTATGACCCTTGTCATGACAGTGATGACATTCAACTTCAGCTAATGGTCGGCGATGGGACTGTGAGCGATAGGCCGCAAAGGCCAGCTGGTCACTGGACTCCTTGGAGAGTTCTCCGCCGCCAGCACTAGGAGAGGCTCCTGCCGAGATCAGGAGAGAGCTGAGGCGAGCACCGCCAGGGGCAGCGCTGAAGGCCGCCGCGTCTCCACGACCAGGGCGCACGTCAATTGCTGCCTGCGTCCTAATCCGGGTCTCTTCTCGTACCAAATCAGCAAG